CGTTGTCATGGCCACAGCGAAAAGGCGCGCCAAATTGTTGTTTCATTGTTTCAAGTCTACGGTTGTATGTCGAGGAGTGGAATGGGATTCAGAGGCACTCCGGGCGGAGACGGGATTCCGATAGCGGAAAGTGTCAAACAGCCGAACGAATCCATGAATCATCTCTCCGCTGGGTTCTTCATTAGTGGAAACTGCAAGTGTGATTCAGTCACTCGTGTCCCAACGAAGCAATTATCTCCACGTAGACTCGATAGTCCCTAATTGTTTCTCAGAAGATCGCTTGGAACAACAATAATATAGATGAATTATAGAAATGGAGTTTGACTCATGTCGTGTCAAACTTGCACTCTATTAAATGATTTCGATCTGATTTGATTCTCACATTTAATTTGAACAATGAAGCCTGTGGTGGTTCTAGCAAAAGAAATGTACTAATTTGCTAAGTAGATAGAGAAGTTATGGCTTTAACAAGATGTCAGGACAGGTGTTCCTTTAAGACTGTGCCCCATGAAAATATTGAAACTAAATATATCTAGTCAATATTTTTTATCTGAGGAATGTCTACTGTTCATTTAGGGTGTTTTCACACATGATAGTCTGGTAGACTCAGTTTGATTGGTGAACAAATTTGCAACACTTGTTACATTTTCAGATGCTATGGACGGCTTTCACATTGCACTGTGTTAAACAAAATCCTGTGAAAAACCTGTTCCCCCTTCTCGCCTGTGGTGGCGCTGCACCAAAAAGAATATAAACAAAAACTGAGTTGTGTCCAATTTCAGCAGTATAGGATTTCTCTTTTGTCTTTGGCAAAAGACCACGAGCCATTTCTCCTGCTAGACGTGCTTATTTGTCTTGGTTGTATTTACCCAGAATGCTTTATGCTACAGTCTGCTTCTTGCTTATGGTCCGCTTGTCATTCACATATGCATTCAAACCACACTAGAGTTCACTTCAGTCGAACCCAGACCTAGGTTTATATTTTTGATAAAAGCTACATAGCCCAGCTTTGTAGCAAAAGTGTGTACCTAATAAAGTGGCCACTACGATGGCTCCAAAATATTTCCTACTTATTAAGGTCACATTTAAACTCGAGCTGGGGGAAATAGTATGTCTGTACTTTTTGACACAATAGTGATAAAATCCATCACAATATATCATCAATAACATGTTAATCTCTCTTTTTCTTTCACAATACATTATATGACAAATGGCAGCATTTTGTTGCAGGGGAGAAAGCACAATGATAAATAAGCCAAACATGTGACACTCTCCATTAAGCGCAAATGGTGCCAGAAGAAACAAACACTTTATTAAAATGCAATAGAAGTGACAGATGAGCTAAAGAGCGGACACCTCGACTGGGTCCTTCTCATTATTCACTGCCTTCTGCCTCTGAATATTAAGCCAAAGAAGTTGTTCTCAGTAGCAAGGTGTTAACTCCTCTCTGCCTCCTCCATCTCACCGCGTTACTCATGTTTGCGTCCGTCCCCGGGGCTCTTTGAGTAAAGCGCCTGAACTAAACAGGCAGTCGAGGCCAAGCGCAGTACGGCGAGGCTACCTCTGCCCTGGAGAGATCTGATCTTTTACTCCCGTTTACTCCTCAGAGTTCGTGCTTGTTTTCACCCGACACTCGGTTGGACATTTTGTGGCAACAAACTACTTTAAAGACTGACGGCAGGGAAAGATTTTCAAAGTTTGGTTAATTGCTAGTGATGTCACTTATTGCCTTTTGAAATGACCCATTTTTGAAACCTTTTCTGAGAACAGGCCATTTTAGCCGTAATATAGTAATATTTGTAATTGTTTTTGAAAGTGAAGTTCATATATAAATGGAATCATCTGTATTTAGTAAATAACCACAATCTTACAAATTTATTTTATGTATGTATTTTCATAAACTATAACATTTCAAAATATGTCAAAAACCCATGTAGTTTTTTTTATGTGATCTGTGTATTTATAAAATTTTGGTGCTACTTGTAATATTGAATATATATATATTTTAAAGAAGTTACAGCAAATGTGATTGTGATTTGCAGTAGTGGTAACATTTGGTTTTGATCATGTGACTGTTGATTAAAAAAAACAATTAAAAAGGCGATTCTGTTGTAGTTTTGCAAAAAATAAACATTTAATAAACAGGGCTGCACAGTGGCGCAGTTGGTAGAGCTGTTGCCTTGCAGCAAGAAGGTTCTGGGTTTGATTCCCAGCCCCGGTCTTTCTGCATGGAGTTTGCATGTTCTCCCTGTGCATGGTGGGTTTTTTCCGGGTACTCCGGTTTCCTCCCACAGGTCATGTCAGGTTAATTGGCCTCTCCAAATTGCCCCTAGGTGTGAGTGTTTGACTGCATGGTTGTTTGTCTCTGTGATGCCCTGCGACAGACTGGCGACCTGTCCAGGGTGTACCCCGCTTCTCGCCTGGAACATCAGCTGGAGATAGGCACCAGCACCCCTCCTGACCCCACTAAGGGACAAGGGTATAAAGAAAATGGATGGATGGAAGTTGTGAAAAACAAAGAATGACTCATTAACCCCGTCGTGTCGTTCAGGGTAAAGAGCCGTTCAGAAGAATTGAATCGTATGTGAATGTCACTTCTCTAGCAATTGCAGAGGCTGCTGGGCGTTCCTGTAGATTTTGTTTCATTGTTAAGTCTGGCAGATAATGGCCTCCATTATTAGAAATGATGCGTGACGTTTCGGTGGTCTGACTGTCATGAAACCCCTCATGTTCGGTGCGACTGTAAAAGCAGAGTGTTGAAGGGAGCCTCCTGTATTCAGCTCACAGTGATCTGAATTAATACTAGTGATTGGTCCCCCAGTCACGTTCAGCCCCATCTTTTCATTCCAGCATCTGGTTTTAATTGGTGCGATGCTGTAAAGCTACAGCTGCTCTGCCTGTTAGGACAATAAATTACTCCAATTAGGCGTTGAACAAAAGAGGCTGTCTGACACCGCAGCCCCACTGCCTTGCTTTAAAACTGGAATGCAGCGGAATGAAGGTTGTACTGTAACACCTGCCCCATCATTTCTCAGATCAAAACACAGCCAGAGTTCCGTGGATGCGGAGAGAGATTGCTTTGCATGCCTCGTGTATCCCCCGTCGTTGGGGCTGGCGGCGTATAAATTAAATAGAAAAAGTGTCAACGTTTGAAATCAATACGAGGTACATTGTGTAATTGCTGGACGGATGATTAATTGCTGTTTGCATCATGAGTTGTGGATACATCTAGGTTTTCTGGCAGCTGCCTGCCATATCGATGGCACCGGTAATGAAGGCAATAATGAGGGACGGTTCAGGAGGATGTGGAATGGGAGGAACAATAGGAACATCTGTGCCTCTCCATAGTTAGACTGTAATTGAGACCATATTTCATTTTGGACTGCGAAAGCTAGCCCCGCGCCGTATTCGCTCGTCTACCTTCCAGAAAGATGAGGCATTTATTTTGCTGGCGGAACGCCTTCAGCGGCTTCGGCGACACAGGTGGTCCGCCGCCGGGAGGAATTTGGGGCGGCAGCCGCCGTCGTGGTCGGCCCTCCTTCCTACGTATCGGGCCTGGCCGTGCCATCCCTTTTGTTTCAGCGCTTGCTGTGAGCACACCATTAAGCCAGGAGAAGTTTGACAAGAAAAATGAAGTGTGCCATTTCCCGTGGCCTCGAGTGTCTCTCTGAATAATGAGCGTGTTGCTTCGTCTCTCTCTCTCTCTCTCTCTCTCTCTCTGTCTCTTCCTCTCTCTTGCTTTTTGCCATCAGATATACTTTTTCCCTTGAAGTTTCAGTTTACTGTGAGAAGGTCTCCAGGTTGCCACTTGTCTCCGGAAAACAGTCTTAGAAACACTTCCAATCCATTTGGGAAATCCTTAGTCAGAAGTCACAGCAAAGCTGTGTTGAATATAAGAAATATCTTTAGGGGGAGCATCTTGAGATGGTACATGCACCTTCTACTCTGTCAGCTAAATTAGCTGGCATTGGTTTCAAGGCCTTTAATCATTTTCATGATCGAAAACATGCCAAATATCCAGAAGAGATGGATATGCCAGTTACCAGTATTATGACATTGTAATGTTATGGTTCTCAATCTAAAATTTTCCAGAATCCCATTCTGGTTTATTGTAGTTTAGATTTTGTTGGAGGAAAGCTCTATGAAGTTATTATTAATAACAGTTTTTTTACCTGTTGTAACAAGATGGCGTCTCACGAAGGCTAACGAAACTAATCAGATGTATGGTGGAAAAACGCTCAGTTTTATATAACGCTGTTAGCAGAAATTTACAGTCTACAATTTTACAAAAGAAGTGTGCTTCTGTTTTTTTTTTTCCAGATTTATAACACCTGTGACTCCTGACACTATGTGGAGTGAAGGTGGTTGAGCCTGCCTGTGATTGACAATTTAGGAGAAGTTGTGAATGATGACGTTCATTTTCTGTGCCGTTTTAGAATTTAAGTTTGTCTATCTTGGGGTGTGTAGTTTGACAAAGGCAACAGAGGAAGTGAACAAAACTATTAAGTCAGAGTTCCCCACACTTCTGTCAGGTGTGGTGGTTGCGAGGTGGTGAGGAGAGACGCAGAGACCCAGGTTGTGATACAGATGATGATAGATTTAATGAAGAAAGCTCAACAGTCCAGAACAGGCAGCATGGCAGAGAGTTAGCACACTGCTAATTACCGGTAGCAACTGAAAAACAAAGGACTGAAGAAGAGAGCTAAACCAACACAGGACTTTACACTTCTACTGTGATGGCAGGCAGACAAATGACATACAACGTACGTTTGACGAGGACCCGACAAGAGACAGAGACAACAGGTGGATTTAAATACACACAGGGGTAATCAAGGGAACGAGACACACCTGGGAACAATCAAGGGCTGACAGGACAACACAGAGACTCAGGGAAACAGGACTAAACACAGAAAATCCCAAAATAACTAAACAGAAAAACACGGCTCATGACAGCTTCTAAATATCGAGCAATTAAAGCATGAAGCATTTTATTGCTGGCATAGATACTGTTTGGCCTGGCACTTCTCTATTTGCAGTGGGGGATGATTGTTTAGAGCGCACACAACTTTTTCAATTTTTCTGACAGTAGGTAGACAGGAAGGGGGCAGAAAGAAGGGGCTGAAGACATGCGGCAAAGGTACCAAGGTCGGGAATGTAACTCAGGAGAACTCAGGAGAACCGCAATAAGGACTGTGGCCTTGGCATACGGGGCGTTAGCTCTACCCACCACGCCACACGTCACCTTACAAAATGGAATTTTAGAACCAGTTAGAGTGGTAGAAGCATGGGGCATTTTCTAAGTTTTTATTTTTTATTTTTTAGATTTTTTAAGAGTGTCTTCAATATTTGTGTTGGGGTATAAGAAGGAACAGGATGGAAACACCCTCACACAGCCCTGTTTTCGCTGAACCCCCAGAGACCCTCTGACATGGCTGACCTCCTCTGGAAGAGTTGTGGTCATGACCAGAGGGATCTCCCTGCTTATTATGACACAAGTTTTTATGGTAATGGGATGTGAAGTCTGCATGGCGGTGATAGCACCGCAGGAACAGGATAGCCTATTACCCACCGCTGTGTGCTGGTAGTAATGGTAAGACAGAGGTACATCCTATCAGTTATGGTTATGATGCATTTTGAATGGGGCACTACCTTTATATATCAGTGGATGATAACAGGAGGAAAGAGCATCCTGGCGGAGACGGGCATGGCCGTAACGCTGAGAGGAAACAGTCAGAATACCGTACACAGCATGCCAAAGTGGGTTTATGGTGATAAATAGAGGGGAGTGGCGGGCTTTTTCCTCTCTCTGCTACAGTAGCGGAGGGCCAGCCCGTGTGTTCAAAGAGACTGAATGCCCAGGGAGAGCAAGACAATGAAGAGCGCGTGTGTACATGTGCGTACGACAAACAAGAGCTACTCGGCAGAAGGGGAGCCTTTAGTTAGCTGTCTGCTTGGCGCTCCGCCGCCCCTCTGATGTATGTTTATGGCCCATCATCTCTAGCCAATTACCCTGCCCCGGCGTAGGGAGCGCAGCGCCTCCTCGTCAGAGCCGTCAGTGTCTGAGCGGGAATACAGACGGTGACAGTTAACGTTTCTGGACATCCTTGGCACGGCGCTGTTCTCCTCTGGGCGGGGGGCTCTGGAGATTCATCCTAAACAGTGAGGCGCCAGGCGACGCAGTCTGCTGAGTCTACGGCCGCCTTGGGAATTTAAAGCATTTTTTTATGTTTTTTTTTTTTTTTGTGCGTTGCTGTGTGTGTGTGAATGACTCCGTGTGTGTTGTGAGTTGGACTACTGTCTGTTCAAACTTTTCTTCATTTTCTTTGTCTGTTGTGTTGCAGGATTGATAAAGTGATGTTTGATGTCTGATCACTGTCATCGTTTGCCAGGTACAGCAGAAGCAGACGTGTTCATGTGTCCCGTCCATGCCACCCGACGCAGTCTCTCATACAAACGCATCTGAACTTCTCAAGGTAATCCCTTCTTCTCTTTGTAGTTTGTGTTCAAATGGGTTTTCCTGCAGCTGCCTTCGTTTGCTTTAGTAAAACAGAAAATGCTGCTCTCACATAGAGAGGAGGCTTTAGGAAAGGCAAACGCGCCTCAGCTGCAATAAAAACACATTTGCTTTTAAGCAAAGTGTTTATTATGCTTTCAACAATGAAGTTGATTATGATTTGATTCTTAGCTTGAAAGTTTTACACCTGATGTATTTGAGCGCTGTGGGGCAAGTCAAGGATCCATAAATAGAAATGATGATTTTAGGATTGTCTTCTGGTCTTCACTTTCGGTTATGGTGACAATTTGAAAGTACCAAACCATGCTTGTGTTGGATGGACGAAGATAGTCACTTGCAGTAGTTGCACTTTGGTGCCATTATTGCTTTTTCTATTTTAAAATTTCTTTTGCAACCTTTTATAAAGTTTAAACAAGTCCAAATATCCTGCTACAATAGCTAAACAACTTACCCAAAGAACTGATTAATTTTCTTCTAAATTTAGATTACACAACAATGTTTGGGTGTGTGCAAATGTCTTTTTCTGAGTATGCTCACCCTGCACATCAGCTTGCCTAATTATTAGCGTGCTGAAGACGTTAATTCATCACAGCGGATCTGCTGCCGTCACATGGCCCTCTGCTGCTGTCATTATGAGCTTCAAATTTCATTGCTTACATGTATGCAAAAGCAACAAGCAGAGGCAGCTTCATGAATTGTTGATGCTGTAATTTTGTTGTGTTGTGATGACCCCAATACTGCTGTGTTATGCTTGTAACAACTGTTTCAAAGAAAGTTCACCTTAAAAGCAAAAGATAATACCTTTTATTAACTCAAGTAAATGTAGAAATAGTTATTCTGTGGAGAGGAAGAGATCGATTCAGGTCCTGGGACAAAGTACTCCAATGTAGGATTAACAATTCTATTGCGCCTTTTACTCTTGTCTAAGCTTGTCCGACTTTCAAAACATATTCAAAATCATCCTCTTCTCTGTTCAGAAGGCATATTTGCGTGATGTTGGAGGAACAAAAGACGATTCTTTTACTCGCCATCCATAGCCACGCTAGGATGATTCTGCTAACAAAATGAAACCTGGAGATGTAGGTATTAACTTTGTGCCACAGCAATTGGGAAAATAATGCAGAAACACTGAAAACTGCTTGTATTCGTCTTATTTTCTCACGCTCTGTGTTGACTACGCTACCTGTAGCTACAACACTGATCAGGACTAAACACCAAAAAAGACATAAACATTTCCCACACAAAGAATATAACCTTCATTCTCTTACAGTTTTATGTTTTCAGACTCAATGTTTATTTTGCCATTATTAATAAGTGATAGTATGAACACAGCGGTGGTTGATTAGCTAATTTATGCAGCTGCTCTACTGATGATCTGTCAGAGTGTATGGGTCATCAGTTTTTTTTAATTTCTTTTTTTACGGAACCTAAACACCAAATTCCACAGCACATTTACATGTTAACTTGTCAAAGTCAAGCTAGCATAACTGACCTACTTCCCACTGCCCTGCTGTTTCTTTTTAAACTTTTTCCTGACCTGTGAAATGTGATGCCTTATCTAGTTGTCCTAGTGTTGACAATTAGTAGCAAACCATTTCATCCTTTTTCTTTTATCACGTTAATAATGCACAATATATACAGCAGAAACAATAAAAATTTGGCCTATGATAGAGATCTGTAGTCTGCCGGCTAACTGTCGGCTAAAACTTGTTGATGATGTAACTAGTCGATATCAAAACAGGACTAGCGGGAAGCAGCACAGCTGAGAGCACAAAGGAAGAACTTGTTAAAGAGGTAGGTGCAAAAAACGTCAACTATCTGGATCTAATTCAGGTTTAACCTCCTGCGGTCTTAGTGTGACGCTCAGGAGGAGTGCAGCATATGTCACGGTCAGATAGGAGGAATGTCGGGGGTAAAAGCGCGCTCGGGATCGGTGTGATCCCCGCCGGGACAACGCACATGGGGTAAAGCTAAAGGGGTCCAATGGACCAAAGTCTCTTAATCCTCCTGCAGTCTTAGCATCATGCTCAGGAGGAGCATGGCAGATGTCACGGTTAGACAGTGACTGTGGGGCGGAGTGACGGTATGACGGTCTTTCTGAAACTTCACACATGCAAAAAAATGAACTTTGGAAAAGTACACAGAATAAAAAGCTTGTGCGGTTTAAATGACACAATCTTCAACCGAAGAAGAGTTAAATAATCAGACCAGGAGCAGAAAAATGTAATCTGCAAAGTGTGTAGGAAAAGTTTGGTCGGATTTGATGTGAGACAGTAAAGGAAAAACAGGTGCTGCTTTCTGTTTTCCTATGTAGTGTGAACTAAGAGTAAACCGAGATTAAACACCAACATTTTATTCTCTGTACTTCAAACATTTCTTTTGGACTGGCCCGCTTTCATACCATTCTTACTGGAGTTGTTTTTCTTCTACTAATTTGCAACATTTGAAAGTGTTGCTCAATGAGGTATTTGAAATTCTGAAAGGGTTCTGGACTTCAAATCAAGGTGATCGTCTTGGTTCTCATCTGTTGGAAAGGCATGCTTAGTGTGGGTGAACATTAAAGATTCATGCAAACAGCTGCTGCTCCTACAGGACAGAATTACCCAGAAAAATGAAGGGAGGTTTAGATTCCAAATGAGAGGGAAACCTTGGAGGAGCAGAGTTTCAAAGAGCGTTGCTTCTAAGGCGGCTGATTTGTTTGCAAGAAGTGACTGCATGCTCTCCTGCAACAGATAGTCCGAAAACTGGATAGGGATTTAAAATGCCACTGAAACAAGCTGCTGGGAATCTTACTGTGAATCAGAAAAGTGTTTAATATTTCTAAATTTTTCCTCTATATAATTAAATAATTGTCAAGCTTAAGGTGGGGGATTAGAGCTGAAACGATTAATTAGATTAATTGTGATTAATCGATTATTGAGATAATCAACAACTAATTTAGTAATCGTGTAATCGCTACAGACTCCAAAAAGTCCATTTTCTGAAAGAACAACACACTGAGGTCAGTGATTAAGATAAACCTGTATAAAAAACATATTGTCTGTAAATGGCCTGTCATTTAGAGGGACAAAGATCTGCAGCTAACAGAACATTTTGAACATCATGTGAAAAGTTCAGCCTTTTTTGTTTGACTTAACATCAGTACAGTGTAGCGTTGATCTACTGATCTTTTTTTTTATTCAAAGATTAATAATTGGTAGCAAAAAGTGCTTAATAGGAGATATTTTTTTGGAGATTTTGCCAAAACGATGCCACTTCAGGAGTTTTAGCAAAATTTATATTTGTAAAGTTTTACTGTAATCACTAGGCTGTATGTTGTTCTTTTAGAAAATGGCCTTCTTTTTTGAGTAAATGATTGATTCCTAAATTAGTTGAGAATTATTTCAAAAATCGACTCATCACCTCAGCCATACTAACGTTACGGGGCGTTATAGTGGCCATGAATACTTTACGAATTCTCTGTATTTTTATAAGACCTGTTTAGGACCGCTGTGTTTCCTGCAGTCTGATAGCAGACCAGAGTGAACCGTGTTAGCAGAGAAAAGAAGCAGCTGATATAGGTCAAATTAGTCATTTCCATACAACACTTTGCTTGACATTTGGCCGCCTGTTGAATAGCGAAGCGGCGCCCTCGTGCAGGGCTCAAGATAAAAAGGCGCGCCTGCGATTCAGCTGACATTTTTAGGCTGTTTGGCGACAGATGCAGTGATAACGTATGATATTTGCAAATGGGCGGTCGGCGTTAGGCGCAATGCTGAATCCATCGCTGACGTCATTCGCAGTCCCCCTCCACCCCAGTTCGCCCTGACTCCCATGTTTCCTGTGTTTCCTCACATTTGTTCTGTCTAATTTGCTCCCGTGTGTCCTGATGCGCTCGTTCTTCTGTTGCCACCCTCGTTTTGTTGGCGAAAGAAATCTCCATCACGCCGACGTCATTGAAGCTCTGAGATGCAAACACAACGCCGCCGTGCATCTGTGAGCACCTCTCTCTCCTCCTGGCAAGAAAATACATCAAACGACCTATGAGGGTGTGACATAATAACGCTCTGCGCTCCTCTGAGACAGGCCGTGACCTTTTGATAGGGACGTCGCGGCGACTGTCTGAATGGTAATGTGAAGGGTTGATTGGCAATTTACAGCCATCACAAAGGCTTTGCTTCAGTGAATCAAAGTACAGGTCTGTAGTAACAAACAGAAGCAATATGGTCTTAACCTCCACATGCTCACCAAGACAAATAACAGATATTCCTGCTGCTCAGTGCAGTGAAAGGCAGGGGCAGCCTCTCAGACAGAACAGCTGGTTGGGTTTTCTTTGCTCCGTCGCTGTCTGTCACTCACTGCACTTCAGCAGCTGTGAGTCCAATGTCTCCAAGTTGGATAAAATTTAAACTTTAAGGATTACTGAAAATGTTTATTATTATTAAGAGAATTATTGACAAAATTTAAACCACTTCTAGAGAAAGATACACATTTATGTGACTATCTGAATGGTAATGTGATGGGTTGGGGAATTAAAACTTTTAGTTACTAAAAGTTTGTATTACTTGTATATGTCTAACATTGTAATCAGGTGCGTTCACACCGGCCCTGTTTAGTCCACTTTAATCGAACTCTGGCTCATTTGTGTTGAAGGTCCTGTTCGTTTGGGGATGTATAATCGAACTCTGATGCAGGTCAAAAACTAAAGTCTGATCCACCTAAAACTTTGATCTTGGTTTAATTGAAGTAAACCCTGCCATGGATGGATGGACGGATGGATGGATGCTAGGAATTCTGGATGCAGATTGATGCAACAAAACATAGTTCAGTATGTTTTCTTAATCTGATATGAATATATCAGACTTTTTTTTTGCTCTACAGGATCTGTAGTCCACACACATTCTGTTTTCTTCTGACATCTGGAAGCCAGTCTGCACCAACAGTTCTCTGTCTGATGTAAGAAAACTCTTAAGAGTCGTG